GGCGAGGGGTTAAGATGTACGCATTCTATTTTTGGTCGACGAACTTTGCTTTTTACAAGCTTTTTTATGAAATTGACCACGTAGTTTTTACATCAATCCAAGTATTTTTAGCACTATCTTTAACATTAATCAGCATGTTCAAAGTCATTGACCATTACAATAGAACACGGGAACTCATTCATGGTGCTAAGAGGTGATCTTCTTTATAGATACCACTGATTTATTGCTATTTGTGCTTGATTTTAATAGCTTTTCCATTAGAATAATACACATGTTTGTTTTATCTTAGCCCGAATTGAGTTATCGTGCTTTTCAGTTTCTGTGTCATTATCGAGAAGTTGTTTGACTTGGCATCCATCCCAAATATTAGTTGTTCTGATTTTTATTCCATTTTTCTCTTGCGAAGACAAAACAGCGTTATTAAAGCGACAAATCTTAATTTAAATCGAAATGTCGAAGGTTAACAGTCATTATTAGACTTTATATATAACAAAAGTCTATAAATTATTAAGTCAGACAATGATTACGACTCAGTCAAAACTAACAGTCAAACAATAATAGATACAATCTTAGATACCGATATACAAAAATCGGTATGTCCAGTTGGGGGCCAGTCGAAAGTGATTCACAACGCGTCAGTTCCCGTGCCAATTGCCGCCGCCCTATCGCTTTCCGAACGCTTCTCACTAAATTGCCGCTGGAAAATTTGTTTAGAACGCTTCTAATAAAATTGCTTTTAGAAATTAATATTTCCTTCATTTCCATTCTGTTTCTGAACGTATGTCTCTAAATAACTATTAGAAAATTGATTTTCGAACGGACCTAAAAATCTGCGAAAACATTACAAAGATTCATACGTTAGTCATCACGTTTCATAGAGTGGTGACTCTCTTTGGTTGTTTTAAATAGTGATCTACTCACTATGTTAGGAATTTGCAAAATTGTTATTCGAACATAGATGGCGCTGCACAATGTTCACGAATTCGTTTTCTTTTTTCAAATCTTTAAAACCCTGCTTCTCTTAAACTTTTTTCTCCGGTGTATTATTTCAAAAACGGTTCCAAAAAGAATATGCCGATTGAAAACGGCCTCCTAAAACAATTGAATTACGCAAATCAATCAAAACAAACCCCAAACTATCTTGGAATTTATTAAATAAAACAATTGATTGATTAATTCCGATGAAGGGACAGAAATTAATACCAACTTCTGCGATTGAGTCGTGTATTGTCCCGGCGCCATTGTTTTCAAAACAAATAATGGAATTCGATTTGTCCGCCTTCTTTGATTTTAATACTCTGTTGCGGGATTGTTTTCCGAATTCCAGTTCTGGAATCGACAATTTGACGACTTGGAATTTGGGAATCAATATCAGTAGATTAAAAGCTTTGTATTTAATATTTGGGTGGAAGTCTTTTAATCTGGGAAGTGTTTTATTTAATCTTATAACCTCCTTACCGTACCGCAGTTACCATAGACGTGTTGACACCACCAATCAATTGACGTACTTTTTAAAACTGTCAAAACGAAACTCTCCCATAGATTTTGTATGGCACTAAAAGCAAGTGACGTCACTATTTTGTCAACTCAATTAAACTACTTTTTTCAATTACAATGCAGCTAAAAATCGTAATTAACAGGTAATTGAAAATTAATTATGTTTTTAAGACCAGAATGAAGTGTCTTTTTACAAAATTTGTGATTTCGAATTATTGGTGAATGGGGATAATTCCATTTGATATTCATCTCTAGACTGGTCATATTCTTTCGGCAGACGTCTGGGACTAACGGCAGTTCAAAGGTTACCTTACAAAATTAAATCCGCTGATAGTGTTGCCAAAGCATAATCATTCGTTGAATCATCAGCCACGTTTACCGCTACCTTAATTGCAGCCGTGAGAGCCGCGATTACCCTAACTTAATCTATTGCACAAACAAATTCGGCTGATGCCTCCGATAGATAACTTCTTTGTTCTATCGAGTTACTTTTAAATTTTAATTGTTGCCTGATTTCGGAAATCGCCGTTATTGAGTGCAACCGACCCATCAACTCGGATTTTAAANATTTTGAATTCGTATTTCGAATATTTGAAGATCTTTATCCGTTTTTTATAACAGCACATCAGAATTCACGTTTTGTTGCAAAATATACTGTATTCCAAACGAGATAAGACGCCACTGTGTGTAGCTAGATATTCTAGTCCGTATATCGCATTAGCAACCTAAATTACTAATAGCGATTGCTGCCAGTCCATCTTACTTTGAAATGACTTGCTCACTATTTTTTCATGAGAACTTTCAATTTACTCCCTCAACGTATTTCCAAATACACACTTCATTTCCTTTGATTGTTTCTGTACACACAACATTATGTATTGCGTAATTGAATGCATTTTCCTAACTTGCCACCGCTGTTTTATTTAAAACCTAAAACACATTATGATAAAAATTAAGTTTGTTAAAAATAGAGAGAAATGCTATTGTTATTAACCATTCCTAATCGCCCATCAAGCATGTTGATTGCTTCCCTCCAAGCCGTAGAAGTGTCGCCAACGATATCGCGTACGCAACTTTCCATACATTGTCCTCCGTTCTCACATTACCCCTCAATGGCCACGTAAAATATGTCTCCGCCATTACTATTGTAATTATAAAGAGATTATTATAATATTTAATGCCACTTCGGTTATATTTAACTAAAATTATTATTTTTATGTTTCGGTTCACACAATTCAACTGCGCGCTTTGGTGATTTCCATCTATTTAATTGAATGGGCTCTTTCTTGATTATAATGAATCATAATGATTTTGCTTTCCACAATCTAATGCTACTTTCTAGTTGTAAACATAAAATTATTCGGTCAAAACTTTACTGTTTTTTATATTTATACGGATAACTGTAGAGAAACGGTCACCCCTGGTTAATTCTAACAAGATGACTGATTTACATAATTTTCATGGATTAGTATCATTTTTTGAGTATAATAAACCGTTGTGTCTAAGAAGCTTGCAGTTAGAGTGAACCAAATTAATACCTAAGTATTACATTAATAAGTTTTGATTCAAAGTAGCGATCTACATCCAACTACCAACCGGTCAATATGGAGGCCTATGTTCAGCAGTGAACGTCCAGTGGCTGAAAAGATGATGATTTAAAGTCTAAAATCATCTTTAAACGGGCAAATAATCTGCTTCTTGTCACAACTCCTTGCCCCAACCTCTGCTAAACAATGCTAGTTCGATAAATTGAGGCAAATCCGTAGGTGGCGTAAGATTTGTCATGGCGATTACGTAAGAATGATTTGTGCCACTCTCTCAATTGGTCGTGATTGATTAGGTCTTCATTGAAGATGACTCATCAGCGGTTCGGTTCCGGGCTCGTGACGAGAAGAATCTTCGTGAAACTAGATAAATGGTAAATTCAGAGAGAGAGAGAGAAATTTGAAAGAAACTCACTGCAAAAGAGAGAAAAACTTACTTCACAAATAAAGCCAAATTCTTAATAATACAATGGAACTTTTTGAACGATCAGTGTGCCTACCATGAGTTTACGTTAGGTGAGCTCGCTAGCGAATACGTCAAAAAATTCTATGAAGATTTTATTTCTTGAAAGTAGCCGCTAGGGGCGCTGCACAATATGTCATACATTTAAATGTCATTTTTTTACGCAGTCGCTAGCGAGCACACCTAACGTAAACTCATGGTAGGCACACTGTAGCTGTCAAAAACCAACCAAAGATTAATCAGAGAAACAAGACTTTAAAAGAAGAGCCAATTGTTACTTAAAAGTGTTACATACGAGTATATTTTAGGAAAAGGAAGTAAGGTGTAGGTACTCCACATTCACACAGAGCGAATCAATAATTACTTACACGAATTATTTAAATTCTTTTCCAACCTTTCTCTCAGATACGATCTAAAATCCACAGTCAGCCATTATCCAAATCAAAGACAACATCGATCAAGGCGCGTAATTGCTGTTGTTAATCCAATCGCGGTTTCATCGGATGCGTAGACGCAGCGCGTGCGTAACGCGGCCATTTTGGAGTTTCGACGGTTTCTTTTTAATGACAGTTTGATGATTGTGAATAGGAAAACTTTTGTTCTACGGCCGGTCTTATATTTCCACTTGACATTGGCACTAATAAACCTCATATTAAGGAGGTTTGGTGCCATGAAACAAAAAGAAGAAGAAGCAGCATCTTTTTCAATTTTGAAATCACTTCTTGATTATGCTTTTGTTTTAGTTCTCAAAAGAGTCGATAGATGTCGTAGATGTCATAAAATGAATCCAACCAAGCAATATAAAAATTTCGAGAACAATTGCCATAACATTCGTTATTTTTTCATTCAATTGTACTTTTAATCTCATTGGATCAACAAACATTGCCGAAGCACTCAAAACATAAAACCTTACTATTTCATAATTCGTTTTTTCCCAGTCGACCGAACACCAAAAACAATAACGGCGGAAAGATCGATGTATAGACAAGAGTTATTCATTAGCCTGTTTAATCTAATTATCGTTCCCATAGTCCGGCGCGGGCGCAGCTTTGTGGCGCTTCCTGAGCATTGAGCCTGCGCAGCGACGCGGCAATCTGCCATCTGCGGATGTCGGTTGATGCCTGAATTGCTATTAAACGCCTTTGTTTTAGCGTTATGCACTAGTAGCATGGGATATTTAGGTCAATAGTAGCTGGTTTTTACACATTGTGACGGAAAAATAACAAACTATTTTGACGATTTGTGATAAATAAGGGCTCAATGATACTTTTTCATACATAATTTATTCTTAACACGGGACTTTTCCCATCTCTCGTTCCCACCGCTGCAATTCCTGTGCAGCCAGGATCTACAGCGTGACCGCCAATAAAAACCCAACCAGTGAAGCTCTTTGTCCTGGGGGAAAGTTAAACTGTCATTGGACCCGCAACAAAATTAATCAGAAGAACATATAATTTTTCGAATTTATTATTAACAGTAACTTCTCTTTGTTCCAGAGAGCCACACTGGCCGAAAAAGAAGTGACCACGCTCAAGGAGCAACTGGCCACAACCAGCCCCACCCCCCTTCAAGCCACCGTCCCCCTCAAGACCAATGGCTCGCTAGACTCGCGCGACCAGGCCACCGAAACCAGGATACCGGACATCTTCGACATTAAAGAAGAGAAGAGAAGGTCGCCAGAGCTTGATGAAGACGTAGAGCAGAAGATGGAGATGGCCGCGACCGGTAGAAGTAATAGCAACTCCTCGAGGAGTAGTCCGGTGGTGCACCCCAGCAGCAACTTGGAGAATGAGCTCGCTGCCAAAGAGAAAGAGGTAAGGACAGTCAATACCTATTTAGGATGATTTAGAGATAAAATAAACGGGACTTATCCCACCACTACAACTCTTGTATGTATAGCCAGGATCTACAGGGTGTTAGGTAAATGGGTATATGAGCCGACACTAGCCCATGTTAACATGATCATATAAATGGTATGGTAAAGTCAGAAATTTGATATAATCATTTTAATTTTTTTAATTTTCATACAAAATAAATTTTATAAAATCCGATTTGTATGAAAATAAAATAATTAAAATGAAGATATCAATTTTCTGACTTCATCATACCATTTATATGACCATGTTAACATGGGCTAGTGTCGGCTTATATACCCATTTACCTAACACCCTGTATGCTATAGTGGCCTCCTATCTAAGATGAAGTAAAATCTTACGTAACTTCAATTTTGACCCAAATAAAAAACACAAATTCACATTATTCCTTTAGTACGAGTTCTCGTAGGTGCTACTAGTGACTGAAGATATTTCATTCAAAATGAGCTGTTAGTCGATTGCAGAAATGTGCCTTTCTCTAGGCTTTAATCTTATATTTGACTATTTTCTGTACACCTTTTCAAAGACACCTGTATAATAGACTCGCATTTTTTCCTACATTTCATGATTCTAAAAAAATTGAGCCACTCTCTCACATACTTCAAACTCTTGCTAAAGATTCACTCTAATATTTGACTACATTCAGAAATCACCTTTGCAAGGACATGAGTATAGTAGGAACGCGCATTTTTTCGTATACTTATTTCATGACTCAAAAAGCCTGAAGCTAGTTTCTCACGTATACGTCAAACTGCTAAACGTCAAATCGTACCCAATGACACAACGATTTATCTCCAACTGTACCCTTTTACCTTTTATCTGCCAATTGAGGATAACCCGTAGCAATGAAGACGAACGCCGAGGTCATTCGGGCAGCCGGTCAGCGAGGATGCAGCGATCGAACCCGACGTACGATCAATAAATCAATTACGTGCGCGGGGGCAATGTGAATTGGATTTGACAGTTGGCTAGATCTAGTGATGGGGAGGTGTCGGTGATATCGACAGTTTGTTGTGATGGGTTTCATTTTAGATTTAAGATGTTGTTTTGAGTCATTTAGAAGAATTTAAGAGTAGTTTAGATGTTTTACACGTGCTCGTAGTTGGTTTACAAAGATCTTTTATTATAAACGACTAATTTAATTATTTTCGATGCAGTTTCTCCCGCATGCTGATTATTAATTATTCTCACATCGCTTGCAAATATCAATTATACAATTTTGTAACCTATAGATGATAGAAAACAAAACTAAAACGTATCAAAATGAAAAATGTTATGACAGCTCCTCTATTAAATTTTTTAAAAAGTTTTTCTTTTAAACTTCAATTTTCGTCACAATTTTAATAGAATCCTTAAAAATTTTGTGACTTTTAAAACTAAGTGCTTAGCTCTTAAAACGAACACATAACACATTATCGAGTAATATCCCTAATATCGTAACCCTTTATCGATACCTCCGCCGATCAGCGCCCCACCGAAGGAAACAGGATACGTTCAATGGGATGATTGATCGGCAACGTAATCCTTGCTCTGGATAAATATCGTAGTTTACGAGCGCTTAACTATACTTTAACTATAGTTATTTATGGCGATAATACTGATACTCTTTGGAATTGGTTAGGGTTATTATTTTATTAGATTTTAAGTTAGATTAATAATTGGATGGTGGTTCTGGCTGGATTCTAACTAGAAGTTACATGCTTTAGTGCTTTATTCCTAAATTAAAGACTAATGAAGTTTGTAATCCTGCTACCATTATCAGGTCGTCGGTCCACCTTGTGGGTGGACGTCGCACGCTGCGTTTAAGGTAGCAGGAAGGCGCTGGATACAGGCCGCTACCAACCGTGCGATGTGGAAGTCATTGGGGGAGCCCTATGTTCAGCAGTGGACGTCCTATGGCTGAAATGATGATGATGAAGATTGTAATTGAAACATTATTTTAACCTACATATCGTTTTGTTTTGATACTTATCACCTGACAGGATCAAAGAAATCTTACCCAGAAAATGTAAAGAAAATCAATGCCCACAAAAATTTTGTGAATGTTCCAATAGCGTATCTGCGTCCGCTATCGGGCCATCTGATGACTTCGATCTTAATTGGCATTGGCAAGACATCAGACGACAGACGACCGACCAATTACACCCGACCGACGAAATGTTTTTACAAATATTTTAATTTCTCAATGTTAGAGCAATCTTAGATTTTGACTGATGGCGGATGACATTGGGTGAATAAAGATCTGTTTCCTACTAAATCATAGAGGACAGAAAATAATTTCAGTTGTATCACAAACAGTTGTGAAACACAATTAGAACGTAATTTGTATGAATCAAAAACACACAATATAAGATACGAGTACTAGCTTTTGACTGTGGATTCGCCCGCTTGAATTTTGTTTATCTCAGAAGTAGCTTTATTATAAATAACTAGCTTTCCGCCCGCGGCTTCGCCCGCGTGGAATTTTGTCTGTCACAAATTTTTTTTTGCGTGCGTCCCTGTTTCAAAAACCGGGATAAAACTATCCTATGTAGCCAAATTTCATCAAAATCGGTTTAGTGGTTTAGGCGTGAAAGCGAGACAGACAGACAAGAGTTACTTTCCAATTTATAATGTTAAGTAGGTACAGATAATCTGATTAAAAACAATAATACTGTAAAATTTATCAAAATCCGTCCAGTAGTTTCAGTGATAGATCCTCACAAATTCATAAACAATGTTGAGTCATCAAACACCATTCACACGAGATACTAAACTAGTTCCAAAACAATTGCTATTGATCAATTAAGCGGATCGATCAATCAATATCATCGACGCGCGCGCGGCGATGACGGTGCGAGCCGCCAATTTAGCTATTTATTTAACTTGAGGATCTACCCACCAGTTCCTCTTGACGAATACGGGGCGATGACCTTTGGAAATCTTCTGGTTGATACCAGTATACTTATCATACTTATTTCTGTGAGCAAATAGGTACCTATTTGTCGCAATTGGATTTTTACTACCAAACAGATGCAATAGCAAAGAAAAACAACTCAAATTTCGTATTGGATTCACAAGTGTAACCTCTTTTAAAAACATTCATTTTATTTTATAGTACACCTAGCTATTCATTTCACTGTGCAATCATGCAAGCACAAAGTTAAATAAACTTAAAAACACGTAGAATTGAAGAACGAAACTATTGCTCAAAGAGAAAGCCGAAAAAGCTGAAAAGCGCAGCATTTGGGCATTTGGAGTGCATCAAAACGCAGTCAAAGACCACGGCGAGTGTTGCATTCATCTTCTGAATCATTAGCCATTGAATCGCCGAAAACGAATCCACACAAAACGGGAACTCGAAATTTAAAAACGCCGAATTTGAAAAACGAATTCGGGGCTCCATTTTCAATAGATATCTGTGAATAGTTGAATGCACAGACAAAAGGCAATCGACATAGACGTGTTCCAAATGGAATTTAAATAAAAAATAAACAAAAAAGGACTCGAAGCATTGCAAAATCTGTTCCAAAGTAGATAGTAGTATAAAATAATTATGAGACAATGACTTGAGCTTTGGACAATTTGGAAAAACTTGTGTTATCTTTAAGGAATGCATTCAACAGGCCATAGAACTAAAATCTGAGGACATTCATTCCTTCAAACTTGAATAGTACAAAAATGCCTGAAATACTTGCAAAGTGTCGAAACCCGGACTTCGCGAGCTGTAACGAATGGCTTTGTAGCGAATAGCGAATGCTCGCGCTATCTGCAAAGTTTTCGCCCGTTTATAATACAGCCGGGGCGTAAGTCAGCGCTTAGGCTGAGGCCACAATGTGCCGGGGTGTCTTCGTTATTGGCCACCAATGGAATGCAGCAAGCTTTTCCTGCAAAACGACTTGTAATATTTGCCAAGTACATGTGAAAAAAGTCGTCTATGTTCTCGTATCGATCGTGAAAAGTATGTCTTATTTTTCATCATCAATGTTGTCTTTCTGTATGCATTATCAGAATATTATGTAAAACTTAAGCCGATAGTTAAAAGATAAAATTTTAGTATACTTCTGATACAAAGATGACTTTTCTCAAAACACAAACAAAAAAAATACGTAGGTAGATCGACTTTATCACCAACTCGGACCAGTGTGGATGCAGCCTTACACTCGTAATCAGCCTGCAATGGCAGCGGGGCAATGTGGGGAATCCGCGAAAACTATCTTCGGAGTGAAGTTTTATACAAATGTTTGACTTTTCACTTTGGCCCATTGATTTAGATGCAAATTTTTATGATAAGTGAAATATAATATAATCATCGTTAGTTGGGTCAATAACAGAAGAAATAGTGCAACTAAATAAGTAGATACTTACGAAAACAAAATACAAAGTATCACAAAGGATTTTACAGATTCAATCGGCGTATTGTCTAGCGTATACCTTATCGATTTGATTTCTATTCAAAAGGTCACGTAACAAATCGGAACATGAAACTAATGATAAAGAAATCGTATCAAAACTTGAGAAATTCGACAAAGGAAAGGTAAGAAATGAAGAAAGAGTGAAAAAAAAGTTTGGACAAAGGGCTTGATTGTTCGTCGCTGCACAATAGACAGCGGAAAATTCTGCTTGTTTGTCAAAGGAATTTCCAGAAAATGTTCAATCGCCACATTACGCCCTCATCGGGGTCGAACTTTGTACTTTCGTGTGTTTTTCCATTTTTTTCGCTTTCTCCACTTTTAATTGAGTTAGGAAAGGGTAGCGGTTTCCGGAATGTTATTTCTTTTTGATGACAGCCGATAAACGATCCGCAAGAAAAACTTTTTTGATTAGCGCTCCTTCGAATTGGTTTTGATTCGGGAGTCCATCTAACTTTTTGTCGCTTTCGCTTTTTTTCGCGATCCAATTATGTGGACTTCATTTGATAATTGAGATCAAGTGAGATTGATGGAAAAATAACCTCGTTT